TAGAGGCATGAAAGATGCAAGAGTAAAGGGGTCATCAATTCTTCCTGCGAAGTTTCAGAGAGCCTTGGAGGCCAGGCAGTGTGCAGCAGGGGTTTCTCTGCATAGAGAAGGCCCTGATAGGCCATTGTGTGATGCTGTGAAGGTGAAGCCTGGTTGGTAATGGAGACTCCAAGAAGACGTTCGTGATGCCAGAGCTGTGAGGCATCTGCCAAGAAGACCTGCATACAGGGAGTGGTACCAGTACAAGAGAGAGATGTGTGTTGCATGCAGTAAAGCTAGAGAGGCTAAGCCATCTAAGCCCTTTGGAAGTAAAGTCCCAGAAGTTGGATGTAGAGCTACTGGATTTGGTGTTTTCCCTGCTGGTTTTCAGTCTTATTTTGGTCCAGTATTTCCTTACTATGCCTCCATTCCTCCCTTTTGGAATGGTAATGTGTATTCGGTGCCACTGTATTTTGGGAGTATGTAATTTGTCTTTTGATTTTTATAGAGGCTTACAGTTAGTATATTTACCTGAGTCTCAGAAGAGACTTTGGATTGTTGACGTTTGAATAGTATTGAGACTGATAATGACTATGGGGACTTTTAAAGTTGGACTAAATGCGTTTTGCATTTTATATGGTCCTGAGCCTATGGGGGCCGGGTGTGGAATGTAGTGGTTTGAATGAAAATGTCTCCCATAGGCTCCAAGTATTTGGACATTTTGTGCCCAGATGATGGCGCTGTTTTGGGAGGTCTTAGAAGGTGTGGCTATCCTAGAGGAAGCACGTCACTGGGGTAGGGCTTAGAGAATTCTTAAGCCTTGCCGGATCTCCAGTTGCTCTCTTGTTTCCTGTGCCTGCTGGAAGATGTAGAGCTTAGCTTCCACTGCTCCTCCTCCAGCCACCTCTGCCACCATGCCTCCCCACCAAGATGGACTGTAATTCCCCTGGAATCATAAGCTCAAATAAACTCTTCCATATATATATATATGTATATATATGCATATATATACATATATATGTATGTATAAAGACTCATATACTGAGTCACAAATTAAAAAAAAAAAACTCACAATGTTTTGCGAACGTTTATGATTTTATGTTGGGCTGCATTTATAGCTATCCTGGTGTGCATGCAGCCTACCAGCCACAGACTGGATGCGCTTGAATGCATGTAGCTCTTCAAGGCTGAGTTTCAGCCCATGACCCAAGTTGGAGCCCTGTCATCTCTTAAATGTGGTTCCAAATCCTGGCCCATTTTCTAGGGTTTCCAAATATCACTTGTTGCTGAATTCTTGTCAGCAAGGTCTACCTGTCTGTCAGAATACTTCCTTTAGACTCCAGACCAGCTTTCCAGTTAGGAGCACAGATTTACTGGACCACCTGGGTAAGACACGTGGTTCTGGTAGGCATGAGGCCACAGGTAAACAGCTAGCCCACTGAGCCTCAACCCTGCATCTCTATCAACCCCTGCTTCACAGGGTTATTGGCACACTTAAAGCTGAGCCCAGTGCCTTGACACAGAAAGGATAAGAAATGCTGGTGACTCTCCAAATGCTCATAGATGCAGCCAAAGCAAAAGTGCCAAAGGGTGGCCCTTAGAACTTCAGAGCAAATGGACCATGAGCAGCCTCTTCAGTAGCAAATATTCAGGAACACTCACTGAAAGCAAGGTACTGAACCAAGGCTGTTACTCTTTTGATCCTTCTCATAGCAAAATTCACACTGTATCGCCCTTCATTTACAAATAAAGAAACTGAGACACAAGTCACAGGACTAACACGTGACTGGTCTGAATTTGGCTGCCTTGCTGCAGAATGCACTTAGCTACCGTGTTACACTGTTTCTCTTTCTCTGGGTGTGCACATGAGCACATACATGCAAATGAAGTTAGAGATCAACATTAGGCGTTTTCTTCCATTGCGCTCCACCTTTTATGTGTATGTATGTGTGCACATTCGTGTGTGTGAGTGCAGGCACACACTTGCTATGCTGTGCTTGTGGAGGTCAGAGGACAACCTTACCTTGGTCACTTGAGCCTTACCTTCTGCCTTGTTTGAGATTAGGGTCTCTCTTCACCAGTGCATATGCCAGACTATCCAGACCACAAGCTTCAGGGGATTCTCCTGTTTCTGCCTCCTAGTTCACTGTAGGAGCACTGGGATTACAGGTGCCCAGCTTTCATGTGGGTTCTGAGAATTCAAACTCAGGTCTCACATTTCCATGGCAAGTACTTTGCCCATTGACCCAGCTCCCCAGTCCATCCACCTTAGTTTTTGAAACAGGGTCTCTCACTGAACCTAGAGCTCACCGATTCGCTAGACTGGTCAGTGAGCTCCAGGGATCCTCCTGTGTCTGTCCCTGACCCCATGCTGAGGTTACAGAGATGTACTGCCATGTTCAAATTTTACAGTGCACTGGAGATTCAAACTTTGGTCCTCATTGAGCCATCTCCTCAGCCCCTACAGTGCTTTCATTAGGAGTATGATTTAGGAATTGAAATAGCTTCTATTCCTTCCCCTGTCTCTCTGCCTTCTGTCCCTGCAGACCACTGCCTGGGTGCCTGCTCCTGTCCTCTGCCTCAGGCTTCCTTGCTTTCCTTCTGTCCCAGGCCCTTGCTGTTACTTACCCACCCGGGAGCCTCCTTCCTTTCTCTGTTTGATTGGCCTGGAACCAGTCACCTCTGAAATGGGACACCTTGTCAGTAGCTGATGAAAAATTGCCTATTTGTGAATGTTTTCTTAAGGAAAATGATTTATTCAGTCACAATTTGTATGCCACAAGTGAGTAGATGTTAGCTTTATGTAAAGCAGGGTATGTCCTTGGCATGAATGGCAATGGATCCCTGTCCTAGCAGCTTAAATCAAAGGGTACTGTGTCACCCAAGCAGTGCTTCACAATGCAGAGAAGTTCCATGCTGCGCAGGTCCTGGTTCCTGGCAGCGGGCGCACAGAGCTAGCAGGTCCTTGATCCTTAGCTTATTTAGAGTTTGCAGAATGTGTGTCTGCAAAGAGGCTAGCTTCAACATCTCCCCCAGGGCTGGACACCCCTTTGCTACTGTAGATGAAGAATCTACCCACCACCACTCCTGAAAATAGTATCCACAAGGTTAGTGCCACTTCCCTGTGACTCAAACCACTTAACCAGATCCTGCTTTTTTAAAGTCCTTTTGCGGACCAGACAAGGACATGTAAATAACATATTGTTTTCTTGCTTAACTTTTCAAATATTACCTTTGCATTGATTAAGTGCTTCATTAGCAAATCCATGTTTTCACACTTAAAAAGGCAGGGACAAAAAGCAAATTTCCCTGAGTCCTGGCAGCTGCCCTCAGCAGCAAACTGGTGAACTTGCCTTCCAAGATACAATCTCCAGAGGGGACTTTCCTGGGAAGCCCTCAATGACCAGCACAAAGAAAACAAAAAAAGAGGGAATTTGTGACTATGAATCAGAGTCTCCACCAAGCCACATTTATTCACATAGCCGACAGCCCTGGTAAGAGCAGCCAGCTTTTCTCACTACTTGCGTGTGTGTGTGCGTGTGTGTGTGTGTGTGTGTGTGTGTGTGTGTGTGTGTACTTGCAGGTACACATGGCTGTGTGCACATGCATCTGGAGGCCAGAGGACAGCCTTAGGTGTCATTCTTCAGGAGCTATCTGCCTTGTTTTTGTGGTTTTGTTTGTTTGTTTGGTTGGTTGATTGTGGTTTTTTTTTGTTTTTTTTTTAAGGAGGAGGGGAGGTTGAGCTTGGGTCTCTTCTCACTGTCCTAGAGTTCAGCCAATAGGCTAAGCTGACTGGCCAGCAAGCTCTAGGGATCCACCTGCCTCTGCTTCCCTAGTACTGGGCTTTCAAACATGCACCTCCACACCCAGCCACCCTTTTTTAATGTGGCTTCTGGGGATCAAATTCAGGTCCCCACTTTAGCAACTGAGCTATCTCTCCAGCCCTCTTTTCAACATTTTGCAAAGCCATTAACAGTGGGGGAAGGGTGAGTGCAGGACATCCTCCTACCCCACCCCTTCTCTCCTGGGATGCTGTCTCTACTCACTGCAGCTTGGAGAACTAAACTCCATAGATTACATCCCTGTAGAGAAAGAAAGTGAAGGTGCTGGTCATCAACACAAAAAGGGAGGAGACAGGGGAGGTGAATGTGAGTTAACTGGCTAAAGAAAGCACAGGGTGCTTTAACTCAGCTGAGACACAGGAGCTCTTGGGACTAAGGTGGGAGGTGAGGTCTCTGCAAAATGGCACTTAATTAAATGACTGAAATTCTCACCCGGACACTCTAAGGTCTGAGACTCTCAAGGCCTCCTGTCTAGGAGCCCTGAATACTTTTGGAATGTACTAGTGATGTGAACATTCTGGCATTGTCCCTACAGGCACCTAAGGCAGGGGTCTTGAGATGAGCTTCTGACAGTGAAAGAGGATAGAAAGTACGAAGTAACACAGGTGACAAGGCAGGAGCATAAGTCCTACCCTCTCAAAACCTTCAGCTTTTCTATGAAACAGTGGATAAAATCTAAGTGTCCTACAGGTTTTCCAGGTAGCTGAGTTTCCAGGCTGCTGGGAAAGACAAGTGTGACATAGCAAGAAAGGGCCAGCCAGATTCACGGTGGCCTCCGCTTTCAGTTTCTACGGAGGCAGACGCTGAGTGCAGGGCTTCAGTCAATCAAACGCTTTCCACCCCCTCCAGGCTTCTTGGGGCTGGCACTGGCGGAATGAAGATGATGGGGCAGCTGGGTGTAGGATTACTTTTGCAGCCTCTAACCTGTTAGTGCTATTTTTGCATGTCTGTATCATCATCAGGCCCTTCCCCCAGAGCCTGCTGCACCCTGGTTCAAGCTGGCCAGAGGAGAGTTCCTCCAATTCATTGTCAGGCACAGTGGTTCTGTGCTAACTATTCAAAACATTTCTCTCCCTTCACAGGCCCCTCTTTCTTCCCTTCTCAATGAGCCCTATGTTCCTTCCCAGGGCACCCGCAGCCAACCCCAGCTCTGGATATAACACATCCCTTAATTCTTACCTGAAGAGCAGGCAGGCTATCTTCCTTCCACTTATTCACAGGGGAAATGGAATCGGCTTGGTGGCCTTTGAGTTGTGTGTCAAGGCTTCTGTGCTGAAGTAGCTTCTCCAGCAGCCCCACATCAGCTGTCTGAAGCTCTGGGTTACTGCGGCTCTGTGTGGGGAGAGGGACGGGCCATGGCATGCACATCAGGTTGCTGGCCCGCCTCCAGACACCATGCCAGTCCCAGAGGGCTGTGTGGGAAGCAGGGAGGAGGGAGGGGGAACAGAAAATGCTGGCCTCCAGGTCTACCTTTGGCCCTCATTCATCAGCAGAGGGGCTCGCCTGCAGATCATTGCACACCCCCACCCCACCACATGAGTGCACAAGAAGCTCTAAGTACCCCAGCTCTTAATAGTCTACAGCAAGTCCGGGGACTACAGAGACAGTGGATAGCGGCAGCAACTACCCTGGGTGTTATTTTAGCATGGTTTGTCTTGGGGCAGAAGCCCTAGCCTAGTGGACCGTCTGAGCAGAATCCTGTTTATTTTGAGGCCTCTGTCGCCAGGGAAACAACTGGTCGAAGAAACGCTCATCTGGAATCAGGCTCTTGCTGAAAGGGAGCCCTTTTCTGTTCTGTCATCTGTCCCTACACAGGGTGTAGGTGTCTGTGTGTGGTAGTGTCTGTCTATCTGTCTGCACCATTCCCCGAGCCAAGCCCTACAAAGTTCATTCTGTAAATTCAGGCAAGGCAGAGGCTGCCAGGATAGGACTGGGTGTGTATGTGTGGAGAGTGTTCCAGTCATTCCTTGACACTGTTCCCTCCTGTCCTTGCTAGACCAGGGAGTTCTCAGGTAAGCTCGTGTCAGGGGCAGGGACCTCCTCAGTGGGCCATAGATGTCATCTTCATGCCATGAAGAAGGAAACAAGGTAGCCATTCGTCCAAATAATTCTGGCTTGAAGGTGGGGAATGAAGTAGACTCAAAGGACATGGATCAAAGAAACCAAATAGAAACATGATTAATAGTCTCTACCATGGGTGAAGAGTCCTTCTTAATACAGGCATGTGAGCCTGGGAGGCATGCACGAGTGTGTGTGTGGGCCCAGCCTGTCCACTGACAGCTCAAATAGAGAGGTGCATGGACCTGGGAGAACTGGAAATGCAGTCTTGGGTCTCCCTCAGGCAATTGCTCTGATGCAGGAAAGGGAGCCATGGTCTGAGTCTGAACTGCCCCCAACAGGCTCATGCTGTGAGCACTTGGTCACTGACTTATGGCACTATTTTGAAGGCTATGGAGCCTTAAGAAGGTAGGGGCTGGAATGGCCTTTGAAGATTATACTTGTCCCTGCTTATCGTCTAGCTCTCGCTACGTCCTGTTTCATGCCATGTGAACAGCCACGCTTCGCCCTCCTGCCACAGTACCTTCCCCTCCATGATGGACTGAAATGCCCCTGAACCCATAAGCCATAATGAATTTTCTCTCACATAAGTTGTTTTCATGAGCAATGTAAAAGTAACTATGAGAGTAGAAGCTGTCTGCTGACGGAGCACATGGCTCGGGGTAGAGGGGGCCAATCAGTCTCAGAAGAGATAGATTATTTGCTTTAAAACATTAGCAGTCCTCCCTGCAAGATTCCAAAGGGCCTTCTTGAATCATCAAGAGATGATAAAAACATTTTGGGCGCTAGAGAGATGGCTTAGTAGTTAAGAGCACTGGCTGCTCTTGCAGAGAACCCAGGTTTAGTTGCCAGGACCCACATGGCAGCTAACAACCATTTGTAACTCCAGTTGCAGGGGATCCAACACTTGGATCTGACACTGTCTTCTGGCTTCCATGAGCATTGCACACTCACAGTGCACTTACATACATGCAGGCAAAACATACACACAAAGTAAATAAATTTAAAAGATAAAAATATTTTGGACAAAGCCAGGCGTGGTGGTGCACGCCCATAGTCCCAGCACTTGGGAGGCAGAGGTAGGCGGATCTCTGTGAGTTCAAGGCCAGCCTGGTCTACATAGTGAGTTCCAGGACAGCTGGGGCTACAGGGAGACCCTGTCTCAAAAAGACCAAAAAATAAATTTTTATTTTTGGACAGTTGGCTTCTAAATATTGGAGAATTAGTTTGCTATATATAGTATGCATTAACTCTTTTTAACTCATGGAACAGGAGTTTTGAGAGTTAGCAACTCCCTGATGATCCCGAGGACAGAAATGCCCTAGGCGCTGTCTTTGTTGCATTTGAGGAAGAGTGAAGACCATTCTCAGCACCCAATGATGGGCATTTTACAATGCGTGGCCATCACTCTCACCATCGCTATCACTATCATGGTACCAGCCTCCAAGGAGCCACACAGACAGATACTATCACATCAACACAGAACCCAGTATCCCTAGAAAGAAACAAAAGAGGTCCAGGCTGGCCTGATGGGGGACTAGAAAGGAACTGGTTTCTGCTGGCACCGTGTGTGATCACAGAACATGACTGACCATATGTGATCACACGCAGAACATGACTGACCATGTGTGATCACATGCAGATCATGACTGACCATGTATGATCACACGCAGAACATGACTGACCATGTGTGATCACACGCAGAACATGAGTGAGGGTTCAAATACCAAGAAATGAATCCATGAACTCTCAGTTCTTTAAGATACATACTGTAATATAATTGTCCCAATGTTCACATTTAGTTTTTTTCATTTTAACAATCTTTCATTCATGTATTTATTTTACACGTGTAAAGAACCTAGATCTATCTTTTAAATATACATAGAATTTTTTAAAAATACTGAGACTTGATTAAGGGAATGCCTATTGGCCCCACTATTATTTGGAGTGGGAAGGGACTGTGATATTATCTAGTAGGATGTCTAAGTCTAGCCTTAGAATCTGCCTCCAGCTCTGTGCCAGGAAATAGTCTGTGGAAAAAAATAGCTGTCAAAACTATTTATTAAGCACCCGTGATACCCAACGTCCTGTATGGTGCATAGGACAGAAATCCTATCTTCTTTCCAAGCTCTTAGGCCACCCTAAAAGTCACTTCTGCCTACATGCAGGCAATACACGCATACACATAAAATTAAAAAAAATATATATATTTTTTAAAAAAAGTCACTTCTGTCGGGCTTGGTGGTGCTCGCCTGTAGTCCCAGCACTTGGGAGGCAGTGGCAGGTGGATCTCTGTGAGTTCAAGGCCAGCCTGGTCTACATAGTGAGTTCCAGGACAGCTGGGGCTTACAGAGAGACCCTGCTTCAAAAAGATTAAAAAAAGAAAAAAGAAAAAAAAAAGTCACTCTGCCACAATAAAAACTTTTTATGGAAGTCATATACCACTGCACAGGTGTGGCCCAAAGAAGACAGAAAACAATAGATCTTTGAGGACAAAGATCTTTGAGAATCCTGGTAGGGTTATCTGCAGAGATGCAGGCTTGCCTGGAGTTGTCTGCAGCTACAGTGCTGGGTCTGGTCCCAGAGGTGGTTTCCTTCTCCTGCATCCTGAGAGCTGGACACTATGCCCAGCACTAAGGGAGCTGTCATTACAGAAAGTGGCTCGAAATCCCTTAGGACAACTTTAGAAGGTTGATAAAGGTAGAAGTTGGCCTTTCTGAATTTTTGCTGATTCTGTGTTCAGTACTTCTGAAAAACAGGCTTAAAACTCTCACTCTTGGGGCTGGAGAGATGGCTCAGCAGTTAAGAGCACTGACTGCTCTTGAAGAGGACCCGGGTTCGATTCCCAGCACCCACATGGTGGCTATGAACCGTCCTTAACCCCAGTTCCAGGGGAATCCGAAGCCCTCTTCTGACCTCCATGCATGACATGGGTGCACTTAGACACATGCAGACAATACACTAATACACATAAAAATAAAATAATAAAAAAATATTAAAAGAAAAAAACCCCTCACTCTTAAACTTCACTGACATGAAAGAAGCTGCCTTACGTGATAGATTGGCAAGATTTAAAAGGCTGCCATAAGTACATTTTCTTCTTCTCCAGGCAGAACAGAAGCCCTGGCATCTTGTCCTTGACTTTTGAGACTGACATTTGATATTTGCTTCAGCATTCCTCCCCCATCCTTCCTGTTCACATAAATGATGCAGCTCTGTGAAATTCACATCAAATGTACCGCATTTTCTTCCTAATCTCATTTGATGACCTTGTTCAGGCCCAACAAATCCTAATCAGCTGACAGGTGAAATCAGATGCTAAGTGCCACTCTCCTTCCCTGGCAGAGCATTTCTGTCTGTTTATGCCCAATCGGGCAGCTAAACAAGGGCATCTTGGCCACCTGGTAAGACAGCTGCCAAGAGGGCTGGGAAGTGTGGCAGACCATCTCAACAAATTGCATTAGTTACCTGAGGTGACCTGAGGGCCACACACAGCAGAGCTGCAGGACAGACACTGGCTACAGTGGCTCCCAGAAGGGAGGTGCCTCACCCTGTCCCACTGTCACCCAAGAATGCCAGCCAACTCTTCAGTAACTGCAGGACACTTGGAAAGGGTTCCATCCATAAGATGCAGGCTACTTCATCTCTATAGATCACCCATCACCTCTTCTAGTTTCTGTATTCTTTTTATTTAATGTTTTATTTATTAGTTTTATTTTATGTATATGAGTGTATTGCCTGCATGTATGTAAGTGCACCCATGTTGTGTAATGCCTGAGGTGGTTAGAAGAGGGCATCGGATCTCCTGGAGCTGGAGTTAGGATAGTGGTTGGCCTCCATGTGAGTGCTGGGATTCAAACTCGGGTCCTCTGCAAGAGCAGCCAGCACTCTTAACCTCTGAGCCATCTCTAGCACCCCTGTCCGCTCCCCCTTTTTAGAAATAGAGTTAGGGTCTCATATAATCCAGGCTGACCTCAAATGTTTAGCTGAAGTTGATTTTAAACTCTTGATTTTCCTGCCTGCTGGGGATTGAACCCAGAGTCTTGTGTGTGCTAGGTAAGCCCTCTACCAACTGAACTATACAGCCCCTGTCTCTGTCTTTTTAACTTTCTATTTTGAGACAAGGTCTCACTAATTTAAAAACCACCACCACCTCCACCCCAACCCTTCCAGCTTTGAACTCATTATGTAGCCCAAGCAGGCCTTGAATTTGCAGCCCTCTTGTTTCAGCCTCCCAAGTAGCTGATATTACAGGCTTGAGCTTCCAGATCCAGCCTACTTTTTTATACTTCATGGGTGTGATAAAGATCAACAACACCAAGAAATACAAAATGGGGGCTGGAGAGATGTCTCAGTAGGTAAGAACACTAGCTGCTCTTGCAGAGGACCCAGGTTCAATTCCAAGCACCCACATGGCACTTAACAACCGCTTGTTATTCCAGTTCCAGGGGATCTGATGCCCTCTTCTGGTCTCCTCGGGCTTTGTACAACATGGGTGTACTTCTATACATGGAGACGATACACTCATACACATAAAAGAAAAGATAAAATAAAATAAGGAAATACAGGATGATCCTCACTAACCCAGTCCTCCCTGAAGATAACCACTATTAACTCATGTATATGTAGTTGGCTGTCTTCAGAAAGATGACTTTATATCCCTGGATGTAATTAAAAACAGATGATCATGTACATGCATCACTGTTTAGCTTTCTGTTTAACAATAGATCTTTGGACTGGGTGTGGTGGAGTACACCTAAATCTAAGCACTAGGGAGGTAGAGGCTGGAGGGTCAAGAGTTCAAGGCTATCCTTAGCTACATCCTGAGGATTCTAGACATTGGTCTAGTCTATTCAAGCATCAATATTTCTTGCTGTGATTATTGAAATAGCTTTCTAATTTTCCTCCCTCCCTGCTTCATTCTTCACCCCCCATAGATCATTCCAGAAGAATCAGATTGCCTCCCTAATTATTCAAAACTCTCTGGTAGCTTTCCTTTGAATAAGAGCAAAAAGCTCACCAATATCCCCGGCATCTCTGAGTTTACCCCATGCACTCCTTTTTACTCACTATGATACACACACTGCTCCAAACTTGGTCCAACCCCAGGGCCTTTGCACTTGCTGTTATCACTGCTCAGAATGTACACACCTCTCATCCCTAGATTCTTGGTATGGTTGGCTCTTTTTTTGGTCTCCGCTCAGACCCCCCTCCTCTCTTCACCTGTTCTAAATCTCGGCCCCCCTCACTATCCTTCACACCCTCCATCGTTTCTTTTTCTTATAGATTTTACTACTATTCATAAAATATTTTGTAAGTTTCCAACCCTTACTGCTGCTCTGGGGACCTCACTTAGAGAACCTTCCAGGCACACATGGGGCTGCTGCATGTCTGCTCCTCACACAAGGGTACAAGCCTACCCAGATGGACCAACGCCTTCTTTGAAATGGCAGTTCCGTTTTCAGTTTGTCTCTTCAGGATTGGATTTTAAACCTTCTCAAAGCCTTTGCAAGAGAGGAAGGCCCCTAGTTTTGTCAACTAAAATGGTTTACTAGCCCCATGAACCTCATAGATGGGGATTAAAACTCTTAAGCTCTAGAGGCCCATGGGGAGCCCAAGAGAGTCACTCTTTCAAACCACTGTTTTGTCACTGGGTGTGGCCTGTGCTGCTGGTTCAGATGCAGCCTCAGTACTCCAGGATCTGCAACCTGGCTCAGACCCCTTGAAAATCTGACAAAACGTATGAACCTGCGCGCGCTCACACACACACACACACACACACACAAACACACACACACACACACACACACACACACACACACGCATGCATGCATGCTTTTATGTTTGCATTTGATTTCAGGAGACAGCAAGATGCCCCAATCCCAGTTTAACCCCAGGTTAAGAACTCCTGGTTTAAAAAAACAAAACAAGAAAAAGAGCTGGGCATGGTGGTGCACACCTTTAATCCTAGTACTTGGGAGGAAGAGGCAGGCAAATCTCTGTGAGATCGAGGCCAGCCTGCTCTACATAGAGAGTTTCAGGAGCTACCAGGAGACACTATTTCCAAAAACAAAACAAAAGAAAAGAACTCCTTGTTTAATAATCAACTTGCTATTTAGCAAAATCTATCTTGATGCCCAGTTTACTATTTAAATTCTGATAAATCAAAGGTTTAGCGTAAAAAGATAAACCTTAGGGGGAAACGTCACAGGTAAGCACTACAGCAAAGCACTAATGAGATGAACCACAAAATGAAGTGAATTACAGAAGCACCATCTGAAATCCAGGAGAATGAAGAGACTGCGGAGAGAGACACACCTTCAACAAGATCTGGCTTACACTCCAGCAGAAGTCCTATGCCCTCTCTTTTCTGTCTCTGGGTCTCTGGTCTTCCCACTTGTCTTATGTGAGTGGCCTATGGCCAAGCTCTGTGGGAACAAGCCCTGTCACTGGGTTAATGATCTCACTGGATTTCTTAACCACTCTAGTCAGATACAAACTCATATAGCCAGGTGTAGTAGTGCACACCTTTGATCCCAGCATTTGGGAGGCAGAGACCGGTAGATCTCTGCATTCCAGGTCAGCCTTGTCTACAAAGCGAGTTCCAGGCTAGCCAGGATTACATAGTGAGGCCCTGTCAAAATAAAAAAAAGGTGGGGGGGGGGCTTGAGAAATGGCTCAGTGGTGTTAAGAGAAGTGAATGCTCTTACAGAAGACACAGGTTCAGTTCCCAGTACTCACACATGACAGCTAACAACCATCTGTAACTTCAGTTCCAGAGAATCCAACACCCTCTTCTGGCCTCCTTAAGCATTGCACACATGGGTATACTTACACACATGTAGGCAAAACACTCATATGCATAAATATAAAAATCAATCAAAAAATTTTTAAAGAACAGATATAACTTATATGGCTCACCCATCTGAAATGTACAAGGCAGTGATCCTGGTATATCCACAAACCTGTGCAGCTGTCACCATGATCATTTTAGAATATTTTTGTCACTCAAAAACAAGCTCTGTGTCCATCAGCAGCCAACCCCACTCCTGCCAGGCTCAGACAGCCACAAATCTACTTTCTGTCTCTAAAGAGTTCCCTTATCTGGCCGTTTTATATAAATATAGTCATTCAATGTGGGATTTTCCCCTTAGCATAGTATCTTCAAGGTTCAAGCATGTTGGGGAAGGCATCGGAATTTCTTTCCAAATTTTACTGCTGGATTTTTCATTGTATAGATTCACCACATTTTAACCCATTTGTCAGCTGATAGATATATAGGATTATCTCCCTCTATTATAAATAATAATGCTATGAACATTTTTTGTGAACACATTTTCATTTCTTTTAAGGCTAGTTTCTCTTCAATATTTACCTAAAGAATTCTACTTAGCACACTTACTTCTGTATGTGCATGTATTTGTATGCACGTATATGTGCATGTTTCCCTCATCAAAATCTCATGCAGAAGCAGGCAGGCTTGGACACTAAGATCCTCATAGCACTTCCACTCTATCAGAAACTTCCAGGTGATCTTAGGACTCAGATTTGGTCTCACAGCTCCAGGGAGGGTTCCTAGAAGGAAGGTGACGATACCAGCTCTGTGAGCCTCACAGGATCCTGTGAAGATCAGTGACAGAAACAAAAGGGCTCTACTCTCTGGAAGGCATGAACACATACGAATTGGTGGGTTTACATCAAATATGCAAGTTGCTCTCAGATGGAGGGTGTTGCAGGCACTCAGACATCTGTATCAGCCTAGAGGCCTGTGGCTTGTGATGGGGACACAGAAGAAATATTACCCATTTTCTCAAGATGTGGTTTCCTCTGAGAGTAGAATCTGGTCAACACCTGGTCACCTCTGAAAGAAAGCCCAGCCCTTTCCTGTCTGGACACCCTGGGCAAGGACAGGTGACTGGTGACTGGTGCCCAGAGGGGCAAGCTTGAATTCTACAGCTAATTCTTGGGGTGATCATCCTGTCCCTTTTCAATGAAAAGCTTCTTGCTCTCTACAGAGCCCCAGAGTATATCCTTCTGTTCATGACACCTTGACCTTTGGGGAGGGGTATGACTCTTACCCCGGGTAGACTCAAATAAGGGCCCCTGTACAGGCACTGGGAGACCAGGTGGCAGAGAGAGGCCTAAAACATCTGAGGGTCCCATGCCATCTGCCAATCCCCCAGGGCTTTAAAATCAGAAGGCAGGAGATGCCATTGAGAGACAAGTATGTGTTAAATAGGACAGGAAATGAGGCAGCAGGTATGCCTGGGCTCTATGCCAACATCACCACTTACTAGCTGTATGATAGAGGATATGTACTGTCCCCATCTGTTGAATGGGCTAATAGCAGTGCATGCCTGGTAGATTCATTGTGAGGAATACCTGGGACGATGCCACAGGGTCTCCTGCATACATTCTGAGCTCAGTCAATGCTTACTGGAGTTATATTACCTTTAAAGTCAGAATTGAAGACCTTGAGCAATCTAGCCTTCCTTCCTAAGCTACTTAGGGAGGCTAATTTTCTATAGGTCCATTAATTGAACTCACTTAATTGGGCACCAATTATGTGTTAGATATTGCAGGGAGGTCTGGGAACAAAACTTACCTTTTCCCTATGAATGTAAAATTCAAGTTTGGTGAGAAACCCATAAGTTCTTGACAAATAAGTAAACAAGGAATAGCAATCCTGACAGTGTCACTCAAGTTCAGAGAAGGGAGGTGACAGAAGTGTCTGGAGGGGCCAGACAAGGCCCAAGAGAGGCAGCACTCTGAGGCTGGTGGTCAGAAGACGAGATGAGTTCATATCAGTAGTCTGGAGGGAGATGGGACTAGGAGAGTGAGGAGGGGAGAATGACCTCCTGAGACAGGCAGTGTAGCCCAGGTAGTCAGGGTGTGGGACTGGTCTGGACCCGAGCCAATGCCAGCTTTCTGGTATCAGCATCTTCCTCACTATCAGGGATTTCTAGGAACAACTTGCCATGGGGTCTTTTAGTGACCTGTTCCCCTAATAATTAGCCTTCCTCTGAAACTTGCCAATAATACTGAAGAGTGTAAGAGGAAGGAGGAGCGATGTCACCATCTGTGGAAACTTGACTGTGGCTTCTGCAGCTAGTCCCTTCCCCTGGGAAGAATACCTTGACTGCCTCAGGGGAGCCACACTCATTGCTCTCAGTCCAGGCTTTGGAGGGGATGACCATACCCTCACAGCAGGGATAGGTACAGTGCCCACACTGGTTCTATGAGAAGCAAACCTGAGACTAGGTGGAGCCGGTGGATGATGGCTAAACTGCTAGCCACTGCACTGTCACCACAACAGCAAGTCTTCCTGGAAACAGAACACAAGGAGCCAAAGGCAAGAGATGGAAAGAGACGGATTTGGGATGTATACCTGGAGCCGCTATGCCAAAACCTTGGCTTTCAACATGAGGAAAAAAAAAAATCATCTTTTCGCCTAAGACTCTTCAAATTTGGTTTCAGACTATGATCACTAAAAGAATTCAGATGTATTCAAGTACATTCTTCCTGTCAGAATCTCGTTTGCTCCTTAGCATGAGTATTTGCAGTCCATAGCCCAGAGGCAGTCTGTATTGGGGCAACAGTACCCACATGCCACATAGGCCCATGTGGTGTGCTCAGGGGTGAAGAAGGCCAGACCAAGAAGCAAACCTTGCCCCTTACCACCTGTGTTCCTGGTTCTGCTTATTGAGCAAGTCTCCCCAAAGTCTTGATTTCACTCTTTTTTTTTTTTTTCTTAAAGAAAGGAATTCTTAAATCTGTTGAGTATATCTTGCAGGATTCTAAAAAATCAAGAAGAAGCTGGGCCGGGAAGCTGCAGATCTTATTTTTGTTTTTTCCTTCTTGCCCATTAGTGAAGATTCAACTGGGATCCTTTAATTTCCCATTTTGTGCAGTGCTTTTTAAAAACGAAGCTTTAACTCTACTGTAATGGGATTTGTCTAATGATTTCCTGGTAAACGTCTACTCGGATCCCAGCACAGATAATTCACTTGGTAGGAATCATTTCCTGCTCCCCTCCTCCCCTGCCCCCCCAGTAAGAACTAGTCCTACCTAGTTCTTTTGTGGGAGTGAATTAGCCTCTGAATGAGAGATGAGTGGGGAGGGCAGAGATATTTGTGGGTAGCATCCATCACATATGCAGCAGACTCAAGCCTGCCACTGACCCGGATTCTGACAGGAATTAGGGAATGGGGAAGGAAGTAGGGGCAGGCATGCTGCGGAATCACAGCACTCACCTCTGTCTCCTCTGGGAGGCTTTCTTTCTGGCGTGTTGGCAGCAACTGCAGCAGTCACACTGGACTACCAAGACGCTGCAAGCAGGCTCTGAGGAAGGGAGTTTCCATTCACCATCAGAAGGGAGTGTCCATCCAGAAAAGGAGGCGATGCCCTTATCCCCCTGGAGGCTGTTCCCTTGTCCTCTCTGTCTCCCTTTTTGGAACTCAAAGGAACCCCAAGAGAAGGGCCCAGTGAAACTACAGCCACACCCACCTCTTAGCAGGTGACTTCCTGGTTTTGGCGACCTTCAAGGTACGCAGCAGAAGGGGGTGGTAAGGCCCCCCTCTTCAGCCCCTGCAAGGCTGGCCCACAAAAAGGCCAAGGACTAGAGCCCATGCTTCTCATGTGATTTATTTTTGGACTAGACACACAGGCTATTTGGAGGGCTGGGCAGCTGCCAGGTGAAAGGACAAGGATGTTGGCCAAGTTGTCTCCAGGCCCTGCCTTGGATAAGTCCTTGTTGCTTTTCCCCACATGGGGCAGAGGAATGGGGGGAGGGGGGGTGTCTTGCTCTAAGCAGTTTAGGCGACTCACCAGGTTTTTTCCAACTGATTGCTGCCCTTTGAAGTTTCACAGAACATAAATGTTATGAAAACCGCCATTATTTCTATGTCTGAGGCAGGTAGGTGCTCCTGAGACTAGTGGTCACATCTTATAGTCATACACCATTGGTTTAGACACAGAGACCCTGTAATCAACACTGGGATGGACCCGACTCTGGAAGGCATGTGTACGCGCTGTTGAGAAGCTGGACTCTGATGCTAAAGTGCACAGTTCTGCCTTGCTCTGTTGGCTGTTCCTGCTTCTCACCCTAGGCTTGTAGAACTTATCACTAAAATACCTTGATTTCTCGCCTCCGATTCTTCCTCCTTAAACATGAATGGAGAGTTGAAACAGTCATGTTTGACAGTCTTGCTTGAATTGACAGCAATTCAGCCTCATCTGTCATCACTCTTACTCCTGGGCTCTTGTTGAAGGCCATTCTTCTGCCCTGTCCCCCATCATTACAGCAGCTGACCTTGCCTCTATATGAGTCAGGGAAGCTGAGGATTGGAATGTCCCAATCGCACCTCCAGGAAGGGATCCAGACTGTCTGACTCCAGAGCTGGGGCCTTGGCCACTTTGCTCTGCTGCCTCCTCATCTAGAAATGGTTGAGATTTCACTGATGTTTTCTTTTCATAACTAAAAAGCCTTAGGAGTGATTCGGATCCATTCATTCGACCCTCAAATTCAGCTGTTGAAAAGGAGAGATACTAAGGTTTTTCTGTGTTTACCGTCCCAGGCTGAGTCTAGGTACAAGATGGAGTCTCTGGTCTCCTTTCTCTTTGGAGACGTTTTCTTATAAATAATTCACTGTGCAAACACACACCAGAGAGAGCGGGGTTGAGCAGCCTAGGTTGGGTTCCCACCACATCCAAGCTCAAGGGCCCTTTCTCCTCAGAGCCAAGGAGAGGTGGAGCCTAAACGCTTGTCCAACACTGCTCTCTGCAGACTGCTAGGCCAAATTGCACCAGGGTGGTTGTCTTCCGAAGAATGGTTTTTTAGAGGATCGTTTTCCAGGTTCTTCTTTTCTGTAAATACTCTTTACCAAAATTGGCTTGTCTAGGGACATGTCCGTGCTCATGATAATTCTTTTAGTGTATAAAAGTAGGGAATATCCATCACCTTTTGCAAATCTTAGTAAGATGTCTTTGCCTCAAAAATCTCCAGGCTCCCAACCTTTCCAGAAGTTTCCTTTGATGGTTTGAGTCAACTTACTTTAATGACAGATTATTTTATCTGTTTGACATATTTATCTTCCATAACTTGACTACTGCATACTAGAACTGTGGAACAAATAAGAGAGAATATTATAAAAAATAGTAACAATAATATTCTCTTTTTTTCTCTGTGTGTGGGGGTGGTTTGGGGGGGTATGAATATGTGTGCCTGTGCATGGGCATGTGGAAGCCAGAGGTGGATGTTAGTTGTCTCTTTCTCTCAAAGTTATTTTCTGAGTCAGCGTCTCCCATGGCACTTGGAGCTCGTGGATTCAGCTGGACTGGCTGTCCAGTGAGCTCCCAGAATCCTGTTTACATCTCCCAGCACAGAAATCACAGGTGGGCTCCACAGTGCCAAGCTTTTTATGGTAGTGCTTGTTATTCAAACTTAGAGCCTCATGCTTATGCAGCAAGCACTTTACCCACTGAGCTATCTCCCCAGTCCCCAAATAATAGATATTCTTAAGGCATGGTGCCACAGTATAATTAAAAATTCTAGCCAGGCGTGGTAGCGCACACCTTTAGTCCCAGCACTCGGGAGGCAGAGGCAGGTGGATCTCTGTGAGTTCAAGACCAGCCTGATCTACATAGTGAGTTCCAGGACAGCTGGGGCTACAGGAGACCTTGTCTCAAAAAGACAAAAAAAAAAAAAAAATCCAATATTTATAATATGGTGGAAGTTATCATCTTCAAGCCATATGAACTTAACCATGAAAATGAACATAGCAATTTTATTTTTTGAAGCAGTGCCTCTCTACATAGACCTGGCTGGCCCAGTATTTGCTATGTAGACCCATGCTGGTACCTGCCTCTACCTCCTGAGTGCTGGGATTAAAGGCTTGTACCACCACACTCATCCAATGTAGCATTTTTTTTTATTGTATGTGTTACATTGAAAACTGAGGTGTTTGACTTTTCCTGTGTCTCTTAACATTTTGTTTTTGTTGGGAGCCTGAGGCTCAGGCATTTCTCAAAACTGCTGACAGACCTAAGCTGGTAACTTTCCATTCTGCCCACTCTCCTCCCGTGGGCACGGGACGGAGCCCGTGGCCTTGGCGCGTGGCCTTGGCCCACGGCCTTGTGCTCTTTTCCAGAAAACTGCCCTGTTTTCCGTTAATCAGTAGATCGCTCCCTTAGAGTACATCTGGGCCCCTGCAGCCTAGCTGATATGATTACTCTCAATCTTTACTCCTTTGTTCTCATTCTCTATTTAACCTCATGCTTGTGCTGCAATAAACGAGACTTGATCAGAACGCTGTCTTGTCTCCATTTCTCTTGTCTCTTGCCCCATCCAAATCCCCACTCCCCAATCCAAGTACCCCGTTGCTGATCCTTCGGTTCAGGTCAGAGTGGCGCCCAACGTGGCGGCTGGATACTGGGGGCACATCATAAGGGAGATGACGGAGGAAAAGGAGTGCACTCGCTAAATCTCAAGGAATTCGGTGACGCGCTGCGGGAGCCTGCAGTGACCGAACCGAAAGTAAGTCAATCCATCCGATCATGGGGCAAGAATTGAGCCAGCATCAGATTATGTCAAGCAATTGAGAGAGGCTCTAAAGACACAAGGAGTAAAGGTTAGGACTGTGGATTTATTTCATTTCTTTGATTTTGTAAAGGACATTTGTCCCTGATTTCCCCAAGAAGGGGCCATAGATATAAGGAGATGGAGAAGAGAAGGAGATGCATTACAAGATTTTTATACAGTGTTTGGGCCTGGAAAGGTCCCGGTTACTGCTTTTTCTTATTGGAATTTAATAAAAGAATTAATGGATAGAAGAGATGAACATGAACCAGTAGTGGCAGCGATTGCCTGGGCTGAAGAGATTTTTAATAGTTCTAAGTCAGAGTTGAGAGAAATTCCTAAGGATGAGCCTCCTGACTTAATTTCTCTTGATAGTGAAGATGAGGGTTCTTCTAAAACTTTAAAAGTCCTTAGAGTCAGTTACAGGGAAGGAAAATCAGGAGGATGCCCAAAAGTCTAAAGGAGAACATATTCGTATTTATCCTCTTTTACCAGAAGCTGCCTGTCCAACTTCGGATACAGATGGCTCAGAGTCTGAGAGGGAGGAGTTAATTTGTAAAACTGGGATTAGGTCACCAAAAGGCCACAAGAGGCAAGAGTGTGACCGTCTTCCTTCTTTCAATGTACCGTCTGCTCCAACTATAATGGCGGCAATAGACCCTAGATCAGAATTGAAGGAACAGATAGCACAATTGCAGGAACAAATTAAACTAGAGGAAATGCATCAGTCATTGATACTCAAATTACAAAAACTTAGAACAGGTAGGGAAACTGTTGTAGATAGAGATAAAGTTCGCCGAACCCCCAAGGGGCCCGGCCTCCACTCATATAAAGAGAACTTTAATGAACCTGATAATTTTCCCTCCTACATGGAGGCCTTCCCTGTGACAGAAACGACAGATGACCGAGGGCAAGCATGGCGACATCATACGGGTTTCAATTTTCAACTAATTAAAGAATTAAAAACTGCCGTGTCACAGTGTGGAGCCACAGCTCCATATACATTAGCAATCTTAGATGGTGTGGTTGAACATTGGCTAACTCCCATTGATTGGAATACATTAGTAAGGGAGGTCCTTAGTGGGGGTGATTACTTACTATGGAAATCAGAGTATTTTGAAAACTGTAAGGAGACAGCTAAAAGAAACCACCAAGCTAGAAATAAATGAGATTTTGATATGTTAACAGGCGAAGGTCAATATGGGACTAATGAACAGTAAATGCAATATGACCCAGGACTTTTCACACAAATTCAAACTGCTGGCACTAAGGCATGGAGAAAAATTCCAGTTAAAGGGGACCTAGGAACTTCTCTCACTTCAGTCAAACAGGGGCCTGATGAACCATTTGCAGACTTTGTCCATCGATTAATGACCACAGCAGGGAGAATATTTGGGAATGTTGATGCAGGACTAGATTATGTACAACAGTTAGCCTATGAAAATGCTAATCCTGCCTGTCAGGCAGCCATCAGACCTTACAGGAAAAAGACGGATTTAACTGGCTATATACACCTGTGTTCAGACATAGGTCCGTCTTATTAGCAGGGACTTGCCATGGCAGCGACTTTCAGTGGACAAACTGTAAAAGATTTCTTGGCTAATAAAAATAAGACTAAAGACAAAGGGTGTTTTAAATGTGGTAAGAGCGGTCATTTCGCCCAGGAATGCAAAATACGTAATGATCAGCAAAAGAGTGATGAATAGGTAATGATCAGCAAAAGACTGATGATGAAAAGGCTCCCAGATTATGCCCCAGATGTAAAAGGGGAAGACATTGGGCTAACGAATGCAAGTCCAAGACTGATGTCGAAGGGAGACCTCTACCTCCACGTCAGGGAAACAGGTGGAGGGGCCAGCCCCAGGCCCTGAAACAAACTTTTGGGGCAGTCAGTTTCATTCCCGCCAGCAACTGCAATCCTTTTCATAACCTGGCAATCAGATGATCTGGTTTGGGTAGCTCAATGGCTGCTTACAGCAGAGAAGTTGGCAGCAGCCACTCATTTGGTG